AGAGAGAAATAGAGCGATAGAGCGAGAGCGAGAGAAGGAGGGACAGTAGAGCCGCGAGTCTGATCTCTCGCAGGCAAGCTCCTCTATCTCGCCGATTTCATATTAGATTTCTGATTCTATTGATAGTGTGAACATTTCAGAGTGCCGCCGAAGCCGCATTTCAATCGGTGGATCGAGTCTGAATACAAATTATATGGTAAATATGAAATGCATATTCGCGCAAAGCTAACAGCGGCCACACCGAGACGGCGACAAACTAGAAGCGTAAACTCGGTGATTGAGTGGCGCATTTTTTTCCTACGCATAGAAAACGAGAGCGCACTCACATGCAGCCGCCATCAAATGCATACATTCTGCATTGGTATTTCGAGTCGAGTAGTAATTGCATTGGGATTTGTTATGCGTTCGAAATTCAGTTAACGTGAGTGCGTCCCTTTCTTCGCGCGCATGTCTATGCTCGTTTTGTCAGCGGTAACTAGTTAGCGTGAGCAATGATTATTAGTAGATATCGTGCCGAATATTCCTGTCCATGCAAGACACATTCAGGAAAACGGGCCGGTGAACCTTTTCTATGACCACAATCAATCCCCTGTGCATGAACATGGTGGCGCCATCTATAATGAGATGTAATATGTTCGCTTAATTCGGCAGAGAACGGCGCGAATAAATCTCTTACGAGTTAGTTAGCGCTCAAAGTCGAGATGGATAATATATTCCTTTGGATTCGATATAAGATTCGATTTAGTTTGACCTCGGATAGCATAGCTCTGCGGGAAATTTCTCTTTCGTTGATTTGATTGCGAATTATGTGCAAACCACATACTCGTGCGTATGCGCCTGCATTCACCGCACGTCTAGTCTGATATCGACCACAACATGAACTTAATATATATATATATTTATATATATATATATTGATGGCGGCATGTATCATAAGAATAGTACAGTAGATTACCACCAGGTGGCTGACCGTTTTAATGCCAAAAGTCCCCCCCGTCCATGATGTACTCTTTGCTCCTGTTGCCCTAATAATGGGGGATAGGAATGGAATGATAACCGAGCGTGCGCGCGTTCGTATGTAGGGAAGAATCCAGCAACTGTGAATGTAATAGGAACATGTGAAGGCAATTCCGTTTAGAAAGCACGGTTACAATCAAACTACATATTTTCTCATTTGAAGTACTCTATTCTACTTTCAATTTTCGCCAGTGTGACTCGAAAAAAAAGTTCAACACCCGATCTGCTTTTCGGTTTACATCATAAAACGCTTTTATTAATAACGTAGCAGGAGAAACATTTGTCGCCCTCACACACGAGTCGTTATGGACAACCGTTGTCATGGTAACGCATCGTCGTGGACTCGTGGTAATGTGCTACCTGCTAGCGTCCGCAGTCAAGGCAGCGATGGCACTGTAACAAGCATCCGGTGAGAATTTCACCTATAATACTGACATTAATCACAACAACATAGCACGCAAGTACAGAACTTGCAGTCTCGCTGCAACAGCACCACCTATGGTAGCACGGACGGAGTAACTCAGTATAAACCACTTGGCATCTTATTAGACGCTCATAGTTCTCGTCGTGACGATTCTTTAACGATAGTTGCAGAGGCATTACAATGCTAGGACGCGGAGATTGAGAAGATCAGGGTGAGATTGATAGAACAGAGGTGCACGTAAATAGCATTATATTCTCTGTGAAGAAACGCAAAGAAAACTCATGGATAAATACAAGTGCACATATACAAGTACATGTATACAAGTATAAATATACAAGTACATATATACACGTATAAGTATATAAGTATATTCATACAAGAACATAATATATACTAGTATAATAAATATACAAGCACATTTACATTTTTGTTGTAGCATCGATAACCTGCACAACGAATGACTGAATCAGACCCACTTTCCCCCGTGAATTCTCGTACATTGCCTTGATATTGTTATGATATTCGGAAATTAATGCTTCATATTATATGTCATATAGTGTACGTTAATGTAAATTGTATTAACATATCACCACATTATCCACATACGTATGTCAATTCATATTGCCAGCCCTACTGTATTTCATAAAGCAATACAATCAGATGGTGCCAGATGGTTATAATCATATTGCTGTGTATATTACATACATATATCTGGTA